CAGAACTGGGCAGTGTTTCGTTCCGTTGTGCATAGGTCACTATAAGTTGGTAACGACTCGATAGCATCTAACAACAACATGTTAAAAATCTCCCAATCTGATTATGTAGCATTATCAATTTCTCTTTGTAATTATGTAGTTTTTTGCTGTGGATTTTTCAGAGTCCATATTTTTAGTGATGGCCACATTTAGAAGTGCTTCGTGACAAATTTCATTTCCCTCGCCATAGTTATATAGAAACCCTCTTTATCTTTAGCAATGCTTTTCACCATCAGATCAATATTGGCCGATTTAATTTATGCTCAGCAATGATCTTTCAGTTAACATCTCCCTGATAAATCATTCATCCTCTTAACTTTTCTCTGTCTTTATATTTTAGTATGCTTTCTATAAACAGCATACAGCTGCATTTTGTTTGGTCTTAAATTTGTTCATCTCTATCTTTAGACTTTTGGATTTAGTCCATTTGTTTTCAAGTGATTGCTAACATTTATATTTATTTTTTGCAATATTTTTGGTTTGCTTTCTATTTCTACTTTTCTTTTTTATGATAACACCCACCCCCAGCCCTACCCTGGTTTCCTGCCTTCCTTGAGTTGGTTCCTTGGGTTAGTTACACCTTCTTCCTTCTTTCGCCCTCTTACTTTGGAAATGACACATTTGGGTTTGCTTTGAGAGGTCACCCTTGACGTATTTATACATGTCCTTTGTGCTTCTGTTTTTCTGAGCAGGGAAAGACTTCTAGAATATCTGCTTGTAACATTTACTGACAGTCTGCTGCTTCTCTCTACAGATGAGGAGCTCAGAGTTGACTTTCTTAGTCAATATGCGCTCCCCCAGGTTTTACAGGTACTTTGCTTCTAATTTCTTCCTGCGTCTTACCCTTTCCTTCTGGTAGTTTCTGCCACTCAGTGTGTGTTCTTTACAAGTCCCAGCATCCTTTTATCCCCCAGCTTTTCTTCTTGCCCCACAGAGGACTTCAGGCCAACAGCTCCCCTGAGTACTAGCCCTCTGCCCTCTGTGATGCACGGCTTCCATATTTTGTTTTTGTTCTGTTTCTGGAACCGTCTGCTTTGCTGACCTGACTTGGGAGTGAATCCTGTGTCATTACACTGTTTTGGGTACTTTGTCCCCCACTCCCCGCTAGTCCAAGGATGCATGCACCCCGAGTCCTGAAGCTGTCTCTCCTCCACCCCTTCCTCCCCATCTCTCTACCCTCCCAGTCCTTCTCCTGCTCCCCTCCCTCCCCTCTTCCACTGCTTACCCTCTTCATCCTCCCCTTCTCACACCCCCACCCCTCTGCACCTCCTCTCCTTCCCTGACACCACCCACTCCTGCCCGAGCCCTCTCCAACTCTGCAGTTTGCTCCCTCTTCAGGCCCAGAGCTCAGCTTTGGTTCCACCAGGCTGCCCAGCTGCTTGGGCCTCAGTGGTCATGCCTCTCATGTGTCTCTGCACATCTTTCCATCCTGTGCTCTGTCCTCCGCCAGCTGGTGGTGCCTGGTGTCCTGTTAGTCCCGTGGCCCCAGCAGAGCCCCCTGGATGCAGGACATGCACAGAGAATACGTGCTAGAGAAACAAGTGGCAGACACAAAGCAGCAGTTCTCCTCGGGAGAAAGGGGTGTGTGTTATTGTAAAGATTTACAGTCTTGGAAGCTCTATTGAGGGTCCTTGTGAGTTGGAATTCGCTCGATAGCAGTGAGTTTGGATTTATGAGACAGAATCGGGATGTTTGGGTTAGAGTAGGCATGCAGGGGAACATGGTGGGTAGTGTGGTCAGATGCAGCCCATCCCACATCAAATGCAGCTAGACCCTTGAGGGGGGCTTGAGGGCCTGAGAACATGGGGGTCTGAGGGGCCTGGGGGCAACTCAAGAAAGAAAGTTGCCCAGCCACATGGCTGTCTGGGCTGAGGGGAGCAGACGAGCTTCTGCCTGTGAGAATTCTGGGTGAATCTGGGGGAGCCATGACTCTGGTCCTTATGTGGGGCTGGGTAGGTGCCTTGGGGCCCTGTAAGGGATGTGTGGACTGATTGGACCTAGAGTGGCCAACCACAGTGTGGTGACCCACCACTGTGCCCCTTTCTTCAGGTCATAGAGGTCATCGCCGGCATCTCAGCCTTCCTGGGTGGGGTCATCGCTCTGAATGTGGACGGCGTGGTCTCAGGCCCCCACCTCTCGGTGACCTTCTTCTGGATCTTGGTGGCTGTGAGTACATGGTGCTGGTGGTCATGGATGTGACCATATCCACCTGCTGGCTTCACCACTGTCACCGAGGTCAGGGTTAGAACACAGTTTCTGAGGCATGGGCAGGAGGTGAATGCCCGGTGGGTGGAACAGCCACACACAAGGGTGAGGGTCCTTGCCGGCACCCCCACTGGGGAGGCTCTGGGGACTCATGGAATCATCCTGGCCCTTGTACCTGAGAAGGTGACTCCTCTATGTCTTCTGTTATATTGTTGGTAAGTGCCATTGAGTCTGTTTCGACTCCTATCGACCCTGTATAGGGTTTCTGAGTAGTGACTGGTGGGTTTGAATTACCACCTTGTGGTTCAAATAGACTTCAGTCCAGTGCTTATCCTACAACATCACACTAGGACTCCTAGGGAGGTCATATTGGAGTAGGGTGGGTTCTAAACTGAATACTTCTGTGTTATCAAAAGACCAGACCAGACACAGACTCACACAGAGGGAAGACACCACAGGAAGACTGAAGCTGAGTGCAGAAAGGATGTGGGGGCGGGTCTGACCTCCTCTGACTTCACAAGGCGGGAGGAGTGTTAAACTCAACATCAGCCCAAGATAATTCCTATAAGGCAGAGGTGAGACATATCTCTTATCTTCTTTCTTCTTTTGCCAATTCTGACACCAAGCATCTCCCTGGCAGTCGTACTTCTCTGCTTGGTTCAGTAATTGGTTACAAGGGCACACAGAACTCACAGACAATACTCCCAGGTTATGGGTTTACTAGGAAAGCTAACAGGTTACAATTCAGGATTCAGTTCTTCTGGTGAGGACTGCCTCTTCTCAGTTGTGTTCACAGGCACATCTCTCTCGGGTTCTTGGCCTCTCAACCATGTGGCCCCACAGTCTACTCGATTCCCGCAAAGCTCTTTTCGCACTGCTGATAAATGCTCCAAGGTCATGCCACTCCACTCCATCATAAGCCTCAGCCTAAAGGTTCTGCTCTAGCTCAATGGACCAGGAAACCTAGCTCCTCTGATTAAGTGACTGGAGACACCCCCCTCCACAGTGAGCCTGCTGGAAGGCACCTAGCTTGGCTTGCTCTGTGCATCAGGAAGCGCCCATCACTCTGTCTTGTATTCTTGGAGGTGCCACCTCGGCCACCACCACTTCTCTGCCTCACCTCTGGTGTCATAGTGTAGTCTCCTGGATTGAGGAGGTTCAGCTCATAAGGATCTCAGGATCCATTTCTGACTCTTTCTTAATGGTAGTGAGATCCCCTGGTCCTGCTTCTGAAGTGTCAAAATTGACCAATCCCTTCACCTCAATTCCACACACCTGATTTGCATGTTTCCCACCAGTCATTTGGTGGGAGTTACAAAGACTGTGTTCCCCCTTTTCCCCCCACACTGCTATAGATTACCTAGGGCAACCTATAGAAAAGCCAGATCAAATAATTCACTGCACTATACCGAGGAAGCCACAAGTCTAGGGACACCAAGGATTGTCAGCAATGGAAAGAGAAAGGCTCTTCCCCTAGAGTCGGCAGAAGGAGAGCCCAGCCCTGCTGACACCCTGAATTCAGAATCCTGGACCCTCAAATGGTGAGACAATGCATTCCTGCTCTTTGAAGCCACCAGAGTGTGGTACTTCTAGTTAGGGTGGCACTGGATGACTAAAACAGTACTAAATACTCAAATTGAATGCTTTAGCACAACACCTACCATGTAAATGCTTTAAATATGGCCCTGAGACGTGGGAGGCTCTCATCATCATGTAAATAATCCTAAATCTACTTAACTGACATGATGTAGTCTAACTTTCCTCACTGTCAGCCTTGCCTCCTCCTGCTAGGAGGCGTGGCTTCGCTGGGTTTAGGCTCTTGGCATCTCACATCTCAGCACTGCCACCCATGATGCATCACACCCAATGCCACCGTCCACTCTCAAACATCAGGTACCACATTACGTGGCGCTGTGTCCACCGCCATGTCCAATGAGCATTACATTAAATAACGATTTACCCTAGCATCTTCTACCTCAGGACTTTTGCACACGCTGCCTTCTTGGGTACAATACAATGCACACAATGGGCACAAACACAGGGACAATTGTGGGGATTTTGCAGGACTGGGCAGGTCGGTATTTCATTCTATTGTACAGAGGGTTGCTGTGAGTTAGAACAGACTCAATGGCACTGAACAACAACAGTCCCCTCCTGAGCCCACCCTTCTGAGCCCAAGCTTTGCCTCCCTGGCTCACCCCCATCAGAGTTCCTAACAAATGCTGATGTGTCCAAGGGCCTTGGGACACCGCCCCACTTGGAGGGTCCATCATCTTGGGGTGATATCCTTGTTCAGGGGCTTCTTTTCCTTTGTGGGCAGGTGGAGGGTGACTTTAGGGCTTCAGATGTTTGTGTCATAGGCTTACCTCACCTCACTAGGCTTGGGGTTTGGGGTGCTGGGAGCCTGGAGGCCAGGGGAAGAAGACCCATGGGAGTGGGAGGATCGCAGACGCAGGACTCAGCAATTTCTTCTTGCTGCCACTTTCCCCGACCACGTTACGTGGGATTAGGTGATGCTCCTTAAAATAAGTAAGGAAATAAAAAACAGAAAGAAAAGGTTGGGGGTGTAGGTGGGGGCTCTTTATAGGAGAAGGCCATTCAGAACACGTACAAGGCAAGGGTGAGCCATGAAGTCAGAATATTCACAGGGTCTCATAACGACCCCCCCATTACATTGCTATAGCACATCAGTGTTCCACTGAAGTCAGAACATTCACATGTCTCAGAATGACACCCCACCCATTACATTACTATAGATCACCAAGGGGGAGCACTGCAGTCAGAATATTCGCAGGGTCTCAGAATGACCACCCCCCCCCCATTACATTACTATAGGTCACCAAGGGCAAGCACTGAAGTCAGAACATTCACATGTCTCAGAGTGAACCCCCTATCATATCACCAAGAGGAGAAAAGGGACCTAAATGTTGGGGGACTTGCAGACACCACCTCACTCAGGAGTCAAGTTAGCATGTGTACACCATGCTGGAGAACACATGTCCCTTCTGTTACTTCCCTGTGTCTGACCCTAAAAGGCAGCAGACTGACACATGCGGAGAGGTGGTCTACAGCGATCTAGCTGTGCTCTCTGAAGGGATGAACACCACGGAGGCACTGGAAGGTGGAGGAGCTGTTCTGAGTTGAGAAGACTGACATACATGATGAGGAGATGCGTCTTGAGCTCCCTGATGGGACAACCATGAAAGGAGTGTGTTGGGACATCAGGGGACTTTGAATATGGACTCTATGTTGGACAATGCCATGGACTTCAGGTCAAGTTTCTCAAGTGAGATGCACGGGACTGTGGCCATACAGGAGAACAGCTGGTTCTCAGAAGACACAAGAGGCAGATGTCATGGTCCCTGAGTGAGGGAGGGGTGGCTGGGGGAGAGAGCGAGAGAGGGGCAGAAAGAAGGAGGGTGAGGGAGGACATTGTGAGCCACAGAAGTTCTCCAAGCGGCACAGAGTCATATTGGATCCCTACCTCACACCATACACAGAACTGGATTCCTGATGGATTGAAAGCCTAACTAAGAAAGAAAAGCAGTTATCTTCATGTCTTTCTTAGACAAGACTAAGAAGATCAAAATGTAGCGGAGAAGACTGACATTTTGTGACATAAAGAATGGAAAACTATTGAAAAGATATCAGAAACCAAGATTTAAGCCAACTGACAAACTGGGAGAAGATCTTTGCAACCTATATAACTAACGGACAAAGGATTAATATCAGAATAAGTAAAAAGCATCAAGTCAGTAAGACAAAGACAAGCCAGCCAGAAAAGTGGGAAAAGAACAGAAGAAGACAATCAGCAATCAGGGAATACCATCTAATGAGGAACAATTTTCTCAGCTGAGCAGAAGAAACATACCTGATAATATAAAATGTTGGTAAGGATGTGGATGGAGAAGATGCTAGCGAGGTGACCACTTGGATTGATAATTTGTCAGGGTCTTTGTAGGACTCCTGGTGTGGTGCTGTGGGTTAATGCGCCAGACTTCAAAACCATTTGAACTGTAAGGTTGATGGTTCAAGCTCACCAGCTGCTCCTTGGAAACCCTATACAGAGTCGCTATGGGTCAGAATCGACTGGACAGCACATAACAACAACAGCATTGTAGGATTGGATGGTCCTTATCCTGGGCTGGAGGAGACCCTGCACCTTGTGCAGTGCATGGAGAAGACTGGTATTGCTGCTCTCATGACCACACCCAAGGGTACTTGGACACAGAGGACTTTTGACAAACTATGGCAGCATCTTCAGTGATGGTGGCCAGAGCGGCCATGTGGAACTGTCCATCTTCCTCAAGGAGGGTCTTCGGCTGCTGGAGGAGGCCATGAAGAAGTACATCAGATACGCAGTACAGTATGATACCCACTATACCAACACCAAGTACTGCTTGTGCCAGATGCTGTGTGAATAGCTGGAATCACTCCAGGGAAGGTTGCTTCATGCTGTCCACTCTTCTCAGGAAATTTGTGAGGCCTTTGGCAGTGGTATTTCCTATAAGGAGAGCACATAGGAGCAGGAGCCTACAGGGCTCCAGGGAACAAGGGAAGATGACGGTGGTGTCATTAGATAGCTTTCAAGTTTGACCGGCGAACATACCCACCCCAGATCATCCCCAAGACATGCCTGCTGGAGTGGTGCCTGGAGGGAGAAGTTGGCACAGCCTGTGTATGAGATGGTTCCATGGGCCCAAGATCGTCTGCTCTGCTCTCTTGTTACTGTTGCTGAGCAAAAGCACCAGTCCACCTGGTGGGACTAGTCCAAGAAAGTGATGGAACAGGCTACGGCCACCATCTGTCTGTGGATCAGGGGCTTTCCTGAGGGCCAGCTCAGTGAGGAGAGCCCCTCCTTGTACAAACAGAGGCCCCCAGCCAATACTCTGGCGACTCAGAGCTCAGAAACTAGCCCTGCCTGGGGAGCTATGTGATGGCCCCTTATGGTCTGGGGACAT